ACTCTGCAGAATGCTGTCTTACTTGACAGAGGTGTAGTTACTATGTGGCTATTTTTTCTATGTCTTTGGCTTTACTGGCACTTTTTTGTTGCCTCACTGAATGTTCACTGGTTTCACTGTTATTTTTTTGTGGTCCAGGAAAAAGAAGAAGTGATGAAGTGATTCGAAGTGCAGCCAAGAGACAAAAATCTGAGAACAGTGCTGAGCACCCTGCATTTTACTACAATATCCACAGACACAGTATTAAAGGAATGAACATGCCAAAGTAAGTTTAACTTTAATGCCAAAGTTTTGTTTAACTTCTGGTCTCATATTACTATAACAACTGATATGTAACTTGTATTTAGTCACCCTTACAAGCATCAACTCCTTTTTAAATTGCTACTTTAGTTTCTTTTTTACTTTTTGTTTGTTTGTTTGTTTCTTTCAGGTTAAATAAGTTCTTAAACTATCTCTCTGAAGCTGGATTCCGAGTAAGTAGAACCCACTTCGATCCTATGGGAGTTCGCACGAATGCGCCCTTGGCACAATTTAAGACTATCCTTACGAAGTACAGCACTCCCACGTACACGGCAGGACAGGCAGAAGGCCCTGTCCATCTAACTGAAGGTGTCCTGGCAGAACAGGTTCAAGCTGCTGCAGCTGTCAAGGCAGAGGATGTTGAGTTTCTGGAAGACAGTAAATCTGGAGTCACTGCTGCCATGTTCACAAATGACTACCCTACTCACTGTGCAGCTGATTAAGACAAACAGTTTTGTTCATAGATAAGGATATTGCAGACTTGCAGTCACACCCTGTTGAAGTAAGCCACCACTTCTTACCAAACTGGATTTTGAAAATTTGAGTTATCTGCTCTTTTGACAGATGTGTTAGAATTATGTAGCAGAATTTACCCCTGATCATAGCATATGTGTGGTCAAGGTACTGTTACTGTGAAAAGGTCTCAGAGGCGTTTACTTGGATTTATGCTCACATCCACAGTCAAACTTTGTGGCTGCTGCCGAGTATTTGTTGAAGCCTTATTGCTAGCACAGAATGCAGAAGAGTGGATGGGGCCAAAAGTCTTAAAGCATTTCTGAACATGAGGTTAATGTGAAATGGAATATTCCTAAAATTAATCATTCCTAAAACCTCACTGGTTACAACTCAGAGGGGCTCACTTTAAGATAGTAAAATAAGACAGAATAAAATGTTATCCGAGTTTAAGCAAGTTAGAAAGCTCTGGTTCAGGACGTCTAACTCCAGATCGCACATGTAATTTGGCATTCAGTTCTGTTTTCATTGTTCTGCCTACAAGCAAGGACCTAGCACAGGTGAGAATGGAATAGAATGGTTACGCGACTGTTACTGAAACTTCCATTTATAACCAAACTTTAGTGAATTGTGTTAGTCACTCCAGGTAGTTGTTTGGTTAGAGAGTTTGGTTGAGTATTGCAATAAAGGTACAGTGACAATGCACCACAGGTTGGAAGTTCTGCTGCGCATTTGTCAGTAATACAGTCTTAGTGGTTAAAAAGATCTCTTCTGTGAATGAGCAAAGATGCTGTGTGTTGGTAGTCAGTTCTGGTTTCCTTAAATACATGGCAACATTCCAGCCAAATAAGCTTGATTTTGTCCTTTCTTTTCCCCAAACTTTGTTCAGATACCTCCATATATTCCATCAAACTGTCAAACTTGAACCAGTCATTCCAGTTTTTCACAGGTTTGGCATTAGGTTTATCTAAGAACAGAATGTGAGGGGTTATTACTTACCCATCTCTGAAGCTTCACAGTATTTCTTCTCACACATTGAATGCCAGTCAAGAGTAACATGACCGATACACCTCTGATTATGCAAAACTCCCTAAGCTCCTACTAGGCCAGAAAGTTGGTGTTCCCTAGTTCAGATTAAGTGGAGACACTGTTGGAAGACTTCGTTTGCAGACAACACCCTGCTTACTTGAGTGTTAATATTTAAGTGGGATAGAATCAGTCATAAAGTCAGTTAACCAGAGCAAGAAAGAATGCTCCATTTACAGTAAAGTAGGCTAAAAAGAGTTTAAGTGAAGCCTGTTGTGGGAAATATTTTTTATTACTTTCACAGTTCCTCCCAATAACAGTATTGTGCACCTTTTCTAAGTCAAAGCAACTAGTCCTTGATTTTTGCAGATATGCACAAGGAGGGGCACAGAAAGTGAAGTTCAGGCTTTTCCTTGCAATTCAGACTTTTTTCCTCTGTCAGATGGCCGGAAGCCGTCAAAATCTGGGACAAGGAGATTTGCCTGTTTTAAGTAAGTGACCAGCAGAAGGGGTGTTGTAACTCAGGCCTGTGAGGATTCACCTTCTCTTCAACAGATGACTCAGTTGTTCATCAGGTGAGGTCCTGCAATAATTAGTTAACAGAACACTAGTGTTGGTTCAGGGCTGTTGTTTTGTTATTTTTCAATTCTATTATAAGGTATGACTAGTACCTCAACCCAAGTGATATGTGCCAGTTATACTACACTGTTTATATTGAAGCTGCTTAATACACAATTAAATGCAACCAAAGCTGCTGGGTTTAACCCGAGTGCTGTGAAAATCCTTCATCCTATTTCTCGTGGTACAGAATATGATTAGAACAGTAGCATGTATGACTGGTAAGTGGTAAAGCAGCTATCTTTTATATGGATTTGCATTTCTCATTCATGGCATGCAACATGCACAGGAGCTCAGCTGGTTTCAATGGACTAACTGTGCTGAGGGCCAGACTCAGATCGACACTAGTAGAAGTCAGCTAGTCCCTTTCTTTTGGACAATCACAAACAGCGGCACTAACAAACAAGCAAGAGTTGTCCAAAGGGTTTCTTTCATGAACTGTAGGAGGAAGTAGCACTGGAATTACCAACAGGTTATTGACAACATTTTTTCTTTTATTGTCAGTTTGACAGTTTCAGTGTGACTACTTGAATACTAGAGCTATTAGGCTTACATGTACCTAGCACACATTATGTTCTTAACATGGCTTTAAAAAGTGGAAGGGTAAAGTTGTCTTGAAAACAAAGGTTTATAGGAGTAAAGAGCCACAGTGCAATCAACGGTTTAATCAAACAACTACATTATATATATATATAATATTTAAAGAACATAAATATTCAATAAATTCACTACAACATGAAAATAAACGCTTCACATTCTCCCACACTTTTTAAAGAACTGGGGACAAAGTGACAAACACCTCCTAGACAGACTGCTTAGTTTCACAAACATCTCTCTTGCTTAAGGGACTGAACATTACCTTAGCTATCACAATGGGAAGGTATGCTGCAACTAATCTAGAAGATTCCCCATATATTTTAAAGCATTTATAATGACTGCTCCCACCCCTCCAGATTATATTTAGTGGACATGCACTACTAGTCTACACAATGCAACATTTCACCAGAAATTCATGAACAATGTAGTTCCTTAAAAACTGCCCCCTCTGCTGGGGCCTGAAAACTTCTATTTCCTGTCACAAAAAAAAAAAAAGTCTTTCCAGTAAGAAAAAAAGTTACTCAAAGGAGTATGTGCAGTTTTCACATTGGGATACAGCTGATATGAAGCAGCAGTCAGAATGGATGCATATTTACAAGTGCTAGGCTTGAAAGACACAAGCCATGGAAGGGTACTTCCTTCTTTACATACCACATGCCAAAACTGGTCTTAATTACAGGCAAGAAGAAGGAGCAATACCATATGGTTTAAAATACATTACTTCTTGCCTATCATAGCAATTTTTCTTGCTTCTAGCTTCAGGTGCAAACGGGTGCAAGATTCATCAGCAAGTCTTAGAGCAAAGGAAATTCACAGTAACATATTTTCCCTTAAAATGGAATGCTAATGGATAAAGTGACCCCAATTAAGTGGCAGCAAGGTCCAGAGGGAGGTAAGAGGAATTTAACATGCTAATGAACAGTAGCTACTGGACTTCACGCAACAGCCTACTGCCAAGTTTTAAAACTTGAACCTAAATTTAAGACACTTAAATGGTAAACTTTGTCAAGTACTAAAATTGTCTTCCAAAGTGCTAAACCACATTTGTTAAGCTATGGTAAAAAAAGTAAAAGAAAACAAACCTCAAGCAGCTTATGTCCTCCCTGCTCAAAACTGAAGGCAGGATAAGCTCCCAGCTGGGGTGGTGGGGTGGCACAAATTCCATAATGCAACATCAAAATGCTTTGCTTTATGTCCATGTGCTGGAATTTGGGGCATTTGCTTTTAAAAAAAACCCAGACTTTTCAGAACAGTTCTTTACAGAACATTCTAATACCTTCACAATAAAAATCTTACTACAGGGAACATAGTAGGGCTGTAAAACTTCCAGATTTTCTTCAATTAGGCTTGTGAGGACACTACAACATAGATCACATGGGAAGCTGCAGTGTGCATCAAGACTGGCATGTTCTACATGGGAAAGTTACGGGTTTGGCTTGTTTAGGGTTTTTTTTTTTTGATTGGCTTGCTTTTTAATGGATATTTCAATCTCATGAATCACCTTGCACTGAAGTATTAGGCCCAGTAAACAGCAAGGTTTTAAAGTGTCAGTTTTCTCACTACATCTCTGTTCACAAGAAAATGATTAATTGGATTACTTCTAGCTGGAAGACTATCAGAAATCCTTTACCAATCTTTTATATGGATAACCATTAGCAAAGTACAACATTTAACACATTCCTTTGTATATGTTACTATTGAATAGACTTACTTAGCCATCCAATGCTCAGTACTTCACAGAGGCTACTATAACTGTGTCAAATGTATTAGAAATCCAGATTTACCTGGACAAAATAAGACATTCCAAACTGGAACACTCATTCAGTTATCATGCATTAGGAACAAAAAAGCATGTCAAACACTGGAATGCACTGGAGAAGGTCATTTAGTCTCCTAGGGAAAAAACAAAAGCCCAAAACAAAGACTAAATTAAATACAACCCAGAATACTGTCTAATCTTATTAATAAGTATACTGAGAGCCTGAAGGCATCACGTGTATTGTCCATGAATGTAATGGTGGTGCTTTCTTTTAATATTAAAGAAGTCATAGCTATAAAAAGAGTTAGTCCCATCTCAGTTTTCCAGCACAGCTTATTTATGTTCCTTTGTTGGTGCATAGTACAGTTCCATGGGTTTGTTCACTTTCCAGTACTTCTCACTGACCAGTTCCAAGGAAAAGGACCCATTTAATACCTAGAAGAGAACACCAAAACAGAAATGAACTGTCTGATGGTTTGCAAGGCTATAGAAACAGACTATTTAAAGTGGGGGATTGTGCCAGCTTAAGGGAGTCACCAATAATGTGGCACAAGTTATTAGCTAAACACCAGGTGTTAAAAAGCAGCAATGCAAACTGTTGTGAACTCTTGCTGATCTCACTAAAACAGCACCCAAGAACATTTTTGTAAAGTGAATATAGTTGTAAATAAACTTCAGTTTTTCTCTTTCCTCTCTCTGCAAACAGGGGACTAGTAGATCGTATTTAGACAAAAGCAGAGATGCTTCTGGTGTAAGGGACATCCTCTAGTCATGTTTGAAATAGACTCTTAATGCAAAGCATCTGCTTATCTCTGACTGGTTACTTGGGACATGGAGAAGGCAGACATATTTAATCATTTTTTTGCTTTGGTCGTCACCAGCAAGTGCTCCAGCCACACTGCCCAAGTCACAGAAGGCAAAGGCAGGGACTGGGAGAATGAAGAACTGCCTACTGTAGGAGAAGATCAGGTCTGAGATTGTCTAAGGAGCTTAAAAGTACACATGTCTATGGGACCTTATGAAATGCATGTGTGAGTCCTGAGGGAACTGGTGGATGAAGTTGCCAAGTCATTTTTCCCTTATATTTGAGAAGTCATTGCAGTCTGGTAAAGATCCCACTGAATGGAAAAGGGCAAACATAACACCCGTTTTTAAAAGGGGAGAAAAGTAAGACCCAGGGAGCTACAAACCAGTCAGTCTCATCTCAGTGCCTGGCAAAATCATGGAGCAGTTCCTCCTGGAAATTGTCCTAAGGCACATGGAAAATGAGGAGGTAATTGTTGACAGCCCACATGGCTTTACCAAGGGCAAATCATGTCTGACAAATTTGGTGTCCTTTTATGACAGGGTGACAGCATTGGTGGATAAGGGAAGAGGAACTGACATCATCTGCTTGGACTTGTGCAATAATTGACACTGTCCCACGCAATGTCCTTGTCTCTAAAATGGAGAGGCATGGATTTGATGGATGGACAACTCAGTGGATAAGGAATTGGCTGGATGGTCACACTCAAGAGTTGCAGTTGCACTCAAAGGTCTCTGGGTGGAGACAAGTGACAAGTGGCATTCCTCAGGGGTTGGTATTGTGACTGGCACTGTTTAACATCTTTGTTGGCGACATGGACAGTGGGGTTGAGTGCGCCCTCAGCAAGTTTGCTGATGACACCAGACTGGTGCAGTCAACATGCTGGAAGAATAGGGATGCCATCCAGAAAACCAACCCTGTGCTTAGCTGCATCAAAAGCAGTGTGACCAGCAGGTCAAGGGAAGTGATGCTCCCCTTCTATTCCACTCTTGTGAGACCCCACCTGCAGTACTGTGTTCAGCTCTGCGCCCCCCAACATAAAAAGGATGTGTGCTTGAGTGAATCCAGAGGAGGGCCACAAAGATGCTCAGAGGACTGGATCACCTTTCCTATGGAGACAGACTGATGGAGTTGTTCAGCCTGGAGAAGTGAAGGCTCCAGGGAGACCTTACAGCAGCCTTCCAAGTACCTATAGGGGACCTACAAGTCTGAAGGACTTTTTATAAGAACAACTAGTTAAAGACATGGGGTAATAGCTTAAAACTGAAAAAGTAGATTTAGATCAGGTATTAGGAAGAAGTTCTTTTTTGTGAGGGTGGTGAAGCACTGGAACAGGTTGCCCAGAGAAACTGTGGCTGCCCCATCCTTGGAAATGTTCAACACTAGGTTGGATGGGGCCTTGAGCAACCAGGGGAGTTAGAACTAGATGATCTTTAAGGCCCCTTCCAATCCAAACCATTCTATGGTACAATTTTATGATTAATCATATGACTTACTTTATTCAGATAAATGCCCAGGCTCAGAGATCAATCTAATTGAGATAATGCCTTGTATCTACATTCTGAAGTCAGCAACTGACAAGAGTGGTTCTTCCCTGAGCATACTCAGCTGTTTCATAGTGGAACTGTGGAAGCCTACATGAAAGTGGAGAAATGCCACCTTAAAATAGATGCCTTCTAGTGCTAGAGCTATCTGCTCTTGAAACAAGATTCTCAGATGAAGTAATATTTTTCTCTTAAATTTTAACTCTAAAATAATAGCATAAGTCAGCTTGTAGTTGCTGTCATCACTGCATTTTCCAAAAGTAATTTATATACCTCCTTTTCTACTACCAAAGTTTTTGCTGTACACTTTTTCTTAAAAAAGCAATGTATCTGTGTCTCTAATAAACAATCTGCTGCTATGAATTTTACCCCTAAGCCAAGTGCAGAAAAGTCCAGCTGAGTGGATTTTAATGAGATCTATATCAAAGATATACTGATGCTCAGTGTTACTCTTAGACACAAGTTCTACTCACAGTGAACTGCCCATTGGCAGTAGCAATGTAAATGGTATACTGCTTCTCACTGGCTGTGTCAAGGTTCATCTGGTTTGATTCTCCTTTGCTACGAAGCTCCTCCAAAGCCAATCTTACTGCTAGGTACTTGGACAAGTGATCAACAGTGGCATTGCCTGAGGTCTTGATGTATCTGTCACAACAACCACAAAGATAATCAGACATTTGAGTTGCAGGTATGGGAACAAGACAGCTGGAACACCCCCAGATATTAAGCATCAAGTGTGAAAGGCCTTTAAAGACAGTTTACAAATAAGAATTATAATTGCTTTCACCCCTGACTTGCAAGCAGCTTACCAAATTAAATTGCTCCTAAGTGCCCTTGCATCTTTTTGACACTTCTCCCACAGACCCTCCTGCTCTTTTGTAGAGAAGACAACACTGTCCTGTCATCTGCTCAAAATGAAAAACCTTGTAACAGGTTCTCAAGGGGTTTTGAGAACTACTCACAGCTGCTGAAATCTCATCATAAATACAGTCTGAAGTGTCTGGACAGAAAGCCATGAAAGTGCCAGAGCTATACATGAGACACTCGCTGTGTTAAAGTTACTTATTGTCTCACAATCTGCTCTCACTTCAAGTCTTTCTTCAAGAATTAAAGACTGACACAAATGCTGTAGAGGCCTCTCCCAGAAGCTTGGCTTTTTTTGTGCCTTTCAGCACAACCCCAAGAATTCCCTTGCAATTCCAAACCAAAAAGAAAAGCTGGCTGAGGCTTATAATACATTTAAAGACACTACAGAGATATGTTTCATCATGACAGGACGCCAGGAAGGGACCTGAGGAAAATATGAGACTGCTCATTGCTGTGATACAAAATTTGCAGTCTGTGCTTGGACTAGATCATGAAAAAAAAATGCCAGGAAAAGCTTCCAGCCTACAAAACCACAAATCCTGCTGACACAAAGCTGCTCTGAAAACTGCTGACATGGATAGTTTGTTTATTCCCAAAGAATCTTAGAATAAGTAGAAAGGGGTTGCTACCATCATCCTAGTACCTACTGTGAATTGCAACACTAGAAACTCTTAAAAACATCTTTATTTGCAAACAAAGGCTTAAACCAGATTGTTACTGTATTTTTGATAATCATTGAGCAGTACCATCTACCTGACTTGAAACAGAGAGGAAGAGTGCACATAGTTAAACAGCATTTGGTATGACCAAAAGTAAATAAGATTTTTAAAAGCCCCAAGAAGTGATAGAAAACAAAACCACCAGAAAATAGCAGCATTCATGAAGAGGAATAGAAGACATTTACCTTGTCTGTGCACTGTCATCATTCTCCATGAGGGTCGGATGAGGCCTGAAGACTAATTCAATTTCACTAGCACCATCCATTACAGGGTCTATTGCCACAGTTGTGTTGTTATTGTCCAGTTCTAGCCCAGAATCATCCGATGTTTTGGTTCTCTTATTACTAGGCCCAGCTTCCTGATTGCTGTGTGTTGAGGCATTGCTACAATGTGAACTGTCACCGTTATCTTCTGCACCACTACCATTCTCAATCTGTTGTTTCTTGCCCCTCTGCAACCTAATCAGAAATAGGTAGAAATAAACACTAAGCCAATACAGCGTATGCACAAGCTTCTACAAAGTTTAAACAAAAAAATAAATCCATTCTTACTAAAAAAAAAAAAAAAATCCCAAACTCATAGACAAGATTATAGATTTTTTTGTATCCCTCAAAAATCTTTTAGACATGTTATAGGCATGGGTTTAGACATGTTTTAAGGTAATTTTTAACTTCATATGGTTATTTTTATTTTTTGGTCAATTTCAGACCCTTATTTTCATCTAAATATGAATCCGTATGTGATTAAAAACACAAATGACACCATGCTTCACCACAACATCTGGGGCCTCCTTCACAGCTGGCTCTCTTAGATTTAAATACACACCCAGAATTTCACTACTGTGCGAAAAACACTTATTCCAGCCTTGTGAATTAAGTCAGAACTAAAACATAAGTTCTGGTGTTATGTGCACTTATTTGTATGTAATGATAATATGTTGGAACAGGATTAATTGCATTACAGTTTATTATCTAAAACACAATAGCCATAATTTGGTAAAGCTAAAATGAAATCTGTCTACATCAGGCTGCCACAGAAGTTGCAGAGAGTGATACAAAGGTTTCTATCAGTAGATAAAACATTACAAACTATTTTGGCAGACTTCGAGGAGAGAAATCTCAAGCTATACAGGGAGTGAGGGCAGACTGTATTTTTAGTGTTAAGGTAAACAAGGCTACACATGGACAAATCACATGGATTGCATACCTGTTCATAGCTTGAATCTTTAATCCTTCCTCAATGCTGTGACTTAAAGCTTGCTGGTTATTGTGCTTGCTGATTCTTGCTAGCACTCTCTCCTGATGAGCTTCATATTCATCTCGGCTTGGATAAATTTTACTGATGAGAGCATCAAAATTGGGATCTGGTCTCAATGACCTCTTTGAAACTAGCTTTTTACGACATGTGGGACATTCTTTGTTGCTGGACATGAACAAGAAGGAAGAAAACAATACTAACTCTCCAGCAAGAACAAGTCTGTTCTGACACTGCAGTTCATAGTCAAAGTGCTCATTAACACTGAATATTTATAGTCAATCTGGAATAGGGCTTCTATCTTTTGACAGATCAGGTAGTTACAAAAAAATATTGAAACAAAAACCCCAAAAACCCCAAACACATCTCCATGCTTCTTGGGGGGTTTGTTTGTTTTGTTTTTAAAGTATGTTTAAACAAACTGTATTTAAGAGTTCAAAAGTTCCACTCTGCAAACCAGTTCTTCCCTTAACCCTGTGACTGGATTTTCACCTAGAAAAAATGCATGCCTAGTGGAAATTATATTAAGGCATAGTCTTTCTAGCACTTACAGGACAAAAGAAAGATTAAGGAACCTGTTCTGTAGTTCAAGCACTAACTACTGTGAAAACTAAGAGAGTCTTCTCCTTCCTAACATTTTGTTCCCATTTAACTAAAATGCTAGGTTCACACAATGTTTTTTTCCTGTTAAAGGGAGAGGCCTGAATAGCTGAAACATTGGCATCATTACTTTCTTGTTTCTCTGTAATATATTTTTGCTCATTACTCATCAGAATTTACAGAGGCACAGTAAATTAAGTGCGAACACAAGTAATTGCCATTATCAAGAATAGATGCATCATTGAGTCAGTTACTGTTGGTTACCTCAGAATTCCACTGCTTTTGGGGAAATGTGAACTTGTAACTGAAGAATACTTTTACTTTATCATAAGTTGTTTCAGTACTGAAGTTTGGAAGCAGGAACACAGTTGAAAGGACACATGATTTGGAATTTATTATTAGGAAAAGGAAGAAGAAGGGAAATGGGACTCATTTTTGAAAGAAATGTGTATTTTTTTGTTTTGCTATTACTGGATCTTAAAAAAAAAGAAAAAGAGAAAAGAAAAAAGATAAAAGAGGTTTTTAACTCCTTGCAAGAAAGTTATAGGATGATTTTTCACATGAGGAAACAAACAGATCTGGTCTGCCACAGATAGCTGAACACACAAGAATGAAAATGGAAGGTGTGCTACACATTCAGAAGCTTGCAGGGCACAGGCACATAACCGTTCCACATCAACACCCAGGACTTGATGGATTTCCTTGATCACATTTTCATCTAAAGTGAAATCCCTTTTCTTGTAATAATATTTACATACCCACTCCTGAGGGCTGTAATGATACAGTCAGCACAGAAGCGATGCAAACATTCTTTTGTTGTCATGGTGTTTTTTAACATATCCAAGCAGATGGGACACATCAGTTCACTGTGCAGGCTCCTGGGTGACACAACTATTTCCAAGCCATCAGTGATTGCTTCCTAACATAAAATAAAGTACAAGTTCTTTAATGGAATTTAGTAGCTTTTTCAGAAAGATTGCATGTTTTCCTATTTCTTTAAAGAGAAATACAGTAAAAAAAGAAAAAAAAAAAAAGACATGCACAACCACATCATGCATGCACACACATGCTGCTAAAGAAAGGAAAAGAAACTCCAACAACTTTGTTTTTGGTTGCTTGGTTGGTTTTAATATCACAAGAGAGGTTTTGTTTTGGAAGGATTTTGTTTTTAAATATGGTATAATTTAGAATAGGCAGTTAACACTCCTAAAGGACAATCTTACACATCAAGCTTCAAGTTCTAAAAAGTATCTTAAAAAGCCCCGCCATAAAGGCCAGTTCTTTAGCACATATTACCTGAGGTGTTCTTTGTAACTCATACAAACTGAGCTCCCACGTCTTGCTTAAAGGTTGCGTCCCATTCGTCTGCACGGCTTGAGACATGGCTGGGAAGAAAGAGAGAAATAAGTTGCACACTCCCGTACACTTGGCTAAAGGAGCCAGCTCTCCTGAGCAGGCCTCTCTGGCAAGTGCAGAGTCACAGGAGTCTGTGCCAACAAAGCAGAAACACAGGAGGAGCCCTTGTTCATCCAAGTACCAGGCTCCACTTTGTTACAGATGGCTAACCCTGTGCTCTGTACCACTCCAGAAAAATTAGAGGGAGTCAGTCAGCCATGAACGCTTTGCAAAAAAATCAATTAAGGCAGTTAAACAAAAGTGACACAGAACTGAAGGCCGTAAAATTTGGCTGTGTGATGTGAAAGCTGCAAATGCCACCTGATGTGGAAAACATTCATAAAACATCCACTTACAAATGTGCATGTGGGTCAAACAGGGTCTACTTCCTAACCAAGTGGAAGGTCATGATTATACACAGCAAACTAGCTACACATGTTCACTGGAAGCATGCTATAATGCTTTTCTTTTTCCTCCTGAAAATACATCATCAGGGGTTTCCAATCAGAATTTTAGAGAATTCTAAAAGTCATGTAAAACCTAGCCACTGGGTAATTTTAATCAAGAGCTCCAATTTTACTGCACAGTCCTGCTGGGCTTCAGTTGATGTGTACCTGATTCTCAATGACCTGGGAAGGTGGGGGAGGATGGGGGTGGTGAGAAGTTTTTAAGTTTCAGAAACCCAAATCATACACACATTATCAGGTTTTTTTTGTATCATTTTTTGTATCAGTAGTGGTAGACAGATACTTCTGGTTATTTCTATCTGCACTCAACAGACAACTGATAGACTCCACAACCACTGCTGCAGAATTTGCTCACAGGGAAAGGGGAGGGGACAGTCATCTCCATCTTTCCCTTGAGGCAGGAAAACTTACCCCACACTGTGTGGTATGTTTAAAGAATAAATGTAACCATGTAAGAAGCAAGACTGTAGCTGCAGACATTTCTACTAGGTGGAAAAATCAGAGCGCTTTCTCCCTTTTTACAAGGTTTTTTTGTTGTTGTTGTTTGGTTGTTGTTTTTTTTTTTTAATTAACCTAGGTTTGTATTTTGAGACCATCCAAATCAGCAGCCACATGCAGAATCTACTGGCATCTGCCAGGTACATTATAATCCCCTTTCCAATTCATCAAGTTCTATAGGAAAAGCGTCAAACTCTCTGGAGAACAAGGTTGCTTTATAAGCTTTACTTAATTGTTGAGGGAAAAGCAATAGAAACAGTGCAGCAAAGATTATTATATCTACTTTTACCCAGGCACAGAAACTACGGTTTTCTCACCTTATGAAAAAAGGAGAGGGTAAAGAAGAAAGAACAGCCTGACAAAGTAGCCAAGTCCACTACTGTGTCTAATAAGCAATCAGGGTCTGAAGACGTGTCAAAAGAAATAATTAGGAGATGACAGACTGTCAACTCCAATTTTTACTATATAAATACTGTGCCCTAAAAATGCAGTTTACTTGCCACAAGAAACATATTCCTCTGTGTGGATCAGAAAAGTAGAGATCTCAACTCCCCATTAAAAGTGACAAGCCATCATGACCCACCTGCAGACTGTCAGCTCCCAGTCTGGCCAAGCATTGGGCTGTCCTGTCAGGATTGATGGCATTTTATTTAAATTATTCAGAGGTATGAATTTAATTACGGTATTAAGTGACAAATCTCAGTAAAGAAACAGCACTGAAAAGCATACTAATGGCAAATAAAGGAAACAGTATTTCTGTGTTCTAATTTCCACTATTATTTAAGGTAATTCCAGGCATATAGGAAGTGAAATCCTCCAGGATAAAGATTTTTATTATGCGTTGTTGACAGTCAATTGTTGTAACAGAGGCCCAACATTATTATTCTGTGTCCACACTGGATACTGCTCTTCAGTGTTTTAAAAGCTGACACATTTAATTAACTATCATTCCAACTACTAAAAGAAATTTGTGAAGCTGCTGATCATTCACACCTTTCCCAAAATCTGCTGAAACACATAGTCAAGACTGCAGCAAAGACAACTAAGTCCCACTAAATCCAACCCGCATTAACAGAAAAGCCTGCTCCAAATATTATGTAGCTCTACCACAGTAAAGAGCTCACCTAAGCAGCCCCATAGTAAAGAGATCATCACATGCACAAGTAACTTCTTGCCTAAACTTGCAGGCCTACACTTGCTCACAGAGAAAAGCAGCTCTCCAGGTGCCAGACTGTCAGCAAACCTATCAATCTGGAGAACAAGTGTATTAACACTACCATTTATATTGCAACTTTGCCTACAAGCTTGAGGCTACACTGCAGAACACATGGTATAAGTGTCATGATAAATAATTGATCAACTTTATTCTACAGGCTTCTAATCTGAGATGCCAAGTCCTTCATTCTCACCCTAAGGTCTGCAGTAATACCACTTTAAATTTTTTAAGGAGGAAAACCCTGGTCTGAAAGCTGGACAGATTCACACAATCCCCTTCATCACTAGTAAACACTTCCTCTGCCTCTGGTATGTCCAAAGTCAAAATCTGAGCACCAGTGGAAACACGGTCAATTCAAACATGCTGATCAGATCTTTTCCATTTCCTAAACAAAGATGACCAGATCGCTTCTTCACAAGTCACACATGCTAGCATTAGAAACAGTGTGAAGTCAGGTACCACCTGTGAGCCTTTTCTCATCATTAGGTTTTCGAAAAATCTTCTAACACACACCACAACTTTTTAATTCGCATCAGTTTTTATCTTTATGACTTGTATATACCCTCTGGATATAAGAGGAGAGCAACCAGCCACACAACAGGCTGATATAAGGGGGAGAAGCTACATTCCTGTAGGCAGATCAAACATCTTCCTCTCAGAGTCATTAAGGAGTCCTAGTTGTTGTGATTTATGATATAGCCAGAGGACAGTATTCTAAGGAAACCTGCAATCCTTCAGACTGACTCAGTCTTCAAGGCACAGTAAAACTCTTAAGGACAAACTTAATAATTATAGAGTGCACACATCTGTCACTATCAAAGCAAGAGCTGACTGATATAACCAAAAGAATATATTACAGATCTGAGAGCCAGAAACACTATGAATCTCTTCAGGTTTGATTCCTTGTCACTCCCCAGTTCCAAACAGCATCTAAAAAAAAGGGAAGCAAGCTAACATTCAGTATTTAGTCATGAAACTTGCCTAGTTGTTTAGTGTTATTTATAGAAGAAAACTAGAAGATGAGACAGGGAGACTGCTAAAGATTATCAGAACATGTAAATTTTTATTTCTTTGTACCCAGAATATTTTCGAGTTCTCCACATTGCCAGAATATCAAAACCAAAGTAAAACAAAACTCACCTGTACTGCTTTCAAGGAGCTTCAGAAACTTTTGATCAATATTATATATAAACAAACTTTATCTACAAGTGGAATAGCCCCCTAACTAGAGCTGGGAGATGAGCCCGCCAGCTTCAGTGAAAAGCACCATATAACTTCATTTGAAAATCTTGCTATTTAATTTGCATTTCCTTGTAAAACAGGCTTATGCAATCTTGCTCCTTTTGCTCATCCATCTGCAGACTATTTTGTAAAACAAATTTGAAGACAAGTAGCTGAGGTTTAAAAATGTAACAAAACAGACCTTGTTCCTGAAGCACTGGAAAAGGGAGACAGTTACAGAAGAAAATAACAGTATGAAAGACCCCACCAGAAAAGCCGCTCTGATCTGCCTACTGACTGGGGAATTTATGCCAACAAGTCCTTCCAATGCATTTAAAAAAACCCTCCAGCAGAGCAACATCTGCACTTGTCACACCACATCCACTTTACAAACTCTTATACTGGAATACACTTGATTAATTACTCAAATATAGTCATGAGTCACAGCAGGCTGGGCATTTGGGTGTACCATTCCTGAAACTGGCCAGTAAATACAAATTCCAGCTGGCAAGAAGTACACTTCAGACCACTCAGAGCTGCAGACAGGCTGGCTGCTCTGGCTACAAGGCAGCCAAAGGAGGAGCTCAGCAGCAGCATGTCACTGCTCCTGCTCTTCCCTACTTTACCATTTCAGAGGTTTAAACCACCCTGAAATTCATCGACGTATAATCACTCAGACTTATTTGCCATTTGTGAAATTTTGAGATTTCCTGAGCTCTAGCTTAGAACTTAACCTTGATGGTGGTCCTTCTTTAACCAGGGAGCCAGGACTTTCTACCAGATGCCATCAGAGACCACTCACAACCTGAATTATCCTCCAAAACACTTTGCAGTGCCTATTTTAGCCCAGGCAAAGGCTAAAGAGCAACTGTATGTGTGGTTGTGTTAGCACACCTTGAGATCAAAGAAATGGTGGAATGGCACCAAGCGGCTGGAAGAGATAACCGTAACTATACCACACAGGCACAAGTTCACCCCCCACAGTGGGATAGGGAAGAGAACTGGAAAAAAGCTAAAACGTGTAGGTTGAGTTAAGAACAGTTTAAAAATTAAGGTATAATACCATACTAATACTCCTAATAATAATAATAATGAAAAGGGAAATAACAAAGAGAGAAATAAAATAAAAAAAACCAATAAATAGTATGATAGCCAACACCATTGCTCACCACCTTCTAACCAGGGCCTAGCTCATCCCCAAGAAGCAATCAGCCCGTTCCAGGTAACTCCCCCCAGTTTATATACTGGGCGTGACGTGCTGTGGTATGGAATAACCCTTTGGCTAGTTTGGGTCAGGTGTCCTGTCTCTGCTTCTTCCCAGCTTCCCATGTCCCTCCTCCCTGGCAGAGCATGAGAGACTGAAAAGTCCTTGATTGTGGTAAGCATTACTTAGCAACAACTAAAACATCAGTGTGTTATCAGCATTGTTCTCAAAATAAATCCAAAACACAGCACTGAACCAGCTACTAGGAAGAAAACTAACTCTGTCCCAGCCAAAAACAGGACACTGCTGTTGAGCTCAAAACAGTGTACTGATCTCTGATACTTTCATGAAAAAAAAAAAAAACAAACCAAAAAAAAAAAAAAA